TTCTCATATCTCGTTCATAGTGCATTATGAGGTCAATTTTTGTTAGGTACTATTTGTGTTTAATTTTAAATAAATATATTTAAAATCATTTCTAACCGTTCGATATACGATAAACGATTAGAATGTGAGGATTCCTAGGATCCCCACAACTTGGATCCGAATAGGATCCAAATCCTTATATTCTACCTATCAATGTTGTTCCATGGTTATAGACTTGAGTGTCACCAGTGATTAAACTCATTAAAGTACTTGCTTGACGAGTGGAGGAACGTAAAATTACGGTTTGGATGTATATAAAAATATACGGAAGAATATACGAACGGGTTACCACCAGAAGATTGACAAATCTGATTTATATTGTGTAGTTCATGTTCTGATTACGCCAAGGCCTTTTGTAATAAAATTTTCGCACTAGCATGTTGTATAAGTAGTAAGATGCAATTGAAGACCAATATCAATTTTTTTAGTGAGCCGTGACCTGTCTGTATAAAATCTTGATATAACATGACTTTCGTTGATATAAAACTTGTTGCATGTGTGTCATGTGAGGAGATGTGTTAAGGAATACAAAACCCCACATCAACTGATTGACAAAACTAGATGACTAATTACTCGTTGGGACTTCATACGTACGCTTTGTTACACCTAAGCTTGAATTCTCCTCCTCGCAACCACGGTGATTACTAGGGTACAATAGTTAGTACACTAGTTTCCTCTTCTAGTTAACCTCTCCCCAACAACCATAAAAAAAGCAAGCAGTTACAGCTCAAGATAAAACTTTCGACAAGCCAAGCAGTTGCAAAAGAAAAGGTCGATGTTACTACAACTTTCAAGCTTTCGATGCGACATGACCTCTCTGTCTTTATCCGCTCCCAAATGATGCCTCCCATGAACATCGAAACAAGCCCACGCCCATTGTCCTAGGGTAAAAAGCTTACATCATGATTCATCCATGTGACGATTTTCAGAGAATCATTTTGTACTATGGCTAATTGTAAGTACTCGTTTGGAACTTAGGACGATGTAACTGGGATTTGTTTTGGGACTGTCCGATCTTAGCTACAAATCTGACGTCCCATCGTCGGATCACCAACGAAGAACGGAAGCTCAATCACATGGGAAGATCCACAATGGTTTTAAGATAAACGTTGAAGACGAAACAGAAACACTAGGTTATTGTTAATGGTATGCCGGCTATCCTTCACTACTACAAATGATAACTTAAAAGTGCAAAAATGTTTAAAGTAAAAGATGTGTATCGATAGTACACTGAAAACGCGGTCGGTTCCCAAGATCCGGAGAATTTGGGAGACGACTTCACTGAAACTAGGTTACAGAATCATCCCTCCGTGGGAAGTGCCTCCTCATGAGGATGAAGTGAAGGTGTATAGAATGTTCTTCTTGAGAGTGAACTCGTCGGCCTTAGTTGGGTTGACAGACTGCATCGACAAAAACAAAATAAAATGTTAATGTCCATGTAGATCAGTAACCGTTATATGCACAGATTAACTTTGTTTTTTCAGCATACGATTTCATTTTTACAATTCCAAGTTTCGGAACCTTATTGATATATAGTTCCCACTGTTGGATGCATCAAAGTTTTATATCCAGTTATCTAATCCCGCACCTCACAATAGACAGTCCTATAACATATGAAGTCCCAGTCGAATCATGTAAGCTTATCCATTTCGCTAAACAAGGCCTATGCATCTTGCTAGTACTGGAAAGAGTATAATATAAGGTCAAACCTTTTCGAGTATGCGCCCAAGCCGCTGAATTTCATTCTTTGCATAATCAGGACCTTTCTCCAAAGAGTTCTTGGCAGCTTTCAAGTAGATCTTACCGTATCTGAAATTCAAACAGAACAAGAAGTTAACATCATGTGAATCAGAAGATCAACTGCAAAAGTACGGATCTAAAGGATCTAGTTAAGATCATCACTGAAAGATTCTACGTTCGTTTTCAGTATGTGCAAGTATCATGTGATCAAACTAGAGAGTGCGTATCAACCTTGCAGCCGAACCCTCAAGTTTCCCAACTTCCTCTTCTATCTTGGAAAAGATTGCTTTCTTCTCATCATTGCTAGATTTCACAAACTCCTTTACTAATTCGTCCAAATTTTCAAGAACGCCAGCCTACATAAACGAAGAACACTGATAAGAAAAGGACAAGAATTTGATAAGGTGCATTCACGATGAATTGAAGGTACTGACTTTGGAAGTAAGTTGTCCTTTTCCGTCTCTGCTGGTGCCAGATTTTTCATTAATGAACTTTACAAAATCGTCTAAATCTCTGCCGCCACCATACTCTTCACCCTCCTTGTTGTTCTTTGGGAAAAATTTCAATGTGGGAAATCCACTAACTCCATACCTGCACAGGAAGCCTTGTATTAGGTCCATTTATTCACCATTCATAAATCCCATTTCCTTCATTTTTTATTATGTTGACTCTGAAGATATTTCATCTGAATCATTAAAATATACTACTAATCGAAAACAAAATATAGATTCAATGGAGTACAACACACAACACTAAAATAAGGACCAGAAGTTCGTGGATACTATTAAACTACTAACTCACTTTTCAGCTAAATCCTTGTATTTGTCAGCATCAAGATTAGCAATCACTACACCGTCCTCCAAATTAAATGCTGAGGCAACCTTCTCATAAGTCTGGATAGAACACAAAATAAATAATCAAGATCAACCGTTGTTCAAGCACCAGATAAAGGGTTGCAATAACGGATTTGAAGGAGCAGAAATACACTTACAGGAGCAAGGGATTTGCAATGTCCACACCTGCCATGAAAAGAAAGGGGGGGGGGGGGGGAGAACATATTTAGAGTTGCAAAAGCGCCAATAAAATTCCACTACGATTTATTGCAAACACAGTGGGATAAATATTGTATAATCCCCCTCTCCCTCTTGTACACCAATTTGGCTTTCATTGACTCAACAACCGACAAAACAGTATTCAATATTAAGCATTCAAAAGAAAAATTGAAGACATAATCTTACCATGGTGCATAGAACTCCACCAGCACATCTTTTGTTTCGTCCAGGACAACCTCATTAAAGTTATCCTGCGTAAGTACCACAACATGGGATGGGGCTACAGCAAGCTTCACATTGGTCCCTGCTTGCAAAGAAGAGCTTCATGATCAATCATAAGCTTAGGATTATTACGTAAATGGATGTGTATATTAGAATTGAACAAACTCAATCAACCAATAAATATCGACAAATTTATTCAGTTCGTTTTCAGTTGAATAACATTACAAGGTCAAAATAGTACCTCCTTCCTTATTCACAAACTCAGCAAGAGCTTCTGCAGTACGGCCACCTTCATACCTAAATCATGTAAAATTCAATCAGAAAAGGTAAACCAACATTACTAATACAAACAAGGATGGTGAAGAATATTACATCGTCAGAAATTTGGTTAGACGGATCGGTGGCAAGAGCATCCATTCATAAGTAAAACAAATGCTTTCATGTAAACTAAGCAGGGGATAGGGGAAAACAGACTCACTTTTTGGGTTCTAGGGACCCTTTAGGAAACCATTGAATTGTGGGATAGCCGGAAACTCCATACTTGCCACAAACGCCCTTGTGCTCATCACAATCAACCTATTGAGAACCAGCAAATAAATTAAAAACAGTCAATTAATTGTAGTTGTAGACTCCTAGTATGTACTGCTGCAAGACAAATCCAATAGCACGGTATATAATACAATTATCACAAACTACAATACGGACATCAGTAATATAAAACCTACCTTTGCAATTAAAATGGATTTTGCTTTCTTAAAACTTGAACCGAGCTTCTCATACTCTGGTGCAAGCTTCTTACAATGGCCACACCTGTAATGGTAAGTACGAACCATACTCCATTAAAACGAGCGAAATAAAAACTAAAGAAACGTATCCACTATATGCTTCCTAAAATATGGATAAGAAATGACAGGCAAAACAGAACGCATCCGGAGAAATGATGTTGGTCCAATACTAATCGAAATTCGACGAAAATTCACCATAGATACATATAAACCGCACACTTATTACCAAAAATTCCAATTATATATATAAGAAATAAGTTCAAACACTTCTTGCCTCGATCAATTATTGGCCTTAGATCTAGAATCCTGGATTGCCTAATCGCAGATCTCCAATCAATCAATCAATCAATCAATCAATCTCAGCATCACCATAGCCGATACGATTGACCAATTCCGATTCATGTTTCGCAATCCGAGAAACTAAATTAATCGATTCAATTCAAATCATTTTCAATCCTAAACTTGATTCAACTAATCTCACACTAATTTGCGTTCACTTCCTTCACAATTAACAACAAAAAAGATCATCACAAAACCTCAGCAGCTAAATTTAGCGTTTTTCCAAATCAAATCTCGAGAACCAAACAGCGTTGAAATTAGGAAAGCCTGAGATTACCAGGGAGCGTAGAACTCGACGAGAGCGGCGCGATCTTGACCGACCTCCTTCTCGAAGTTGTCCTCCGTGAGCACGACGACGTCGTCGGCGTAGACCGACGAGGCGAGGAGCAGCGCTAGGGCTCCGAAAGCGAACAGAGTCTTCGAGCTCACCATCGTTTTCAAACTTTCTGAATAAAGTTGGTTGATTTGCGTATTTTATACCCGCCTTTGTTGGATTTTTTTAATTTTTTATTAGTATTATTTATTATTTCTCTACGGTGTCATTTGGCAAATCAAGTTGCGCCACGTGTGCAAATGTAGTCAGCGTTGGACTTTTTTTTTATAATTATTATTATTTATTATTTCTCGACTGTATCATTTGGCAAATCAAGTTTCGCCACGTGTGCAAATGCAATAAGCTCAAAAAAGGAGGGGCGTTGCGAGAATCGAACTCACGACCTCTCGCACCCGAAGCGAGAATCATACCACTAGACCAAACGCCCGAGTTGGCAATGCACTGGAAATCATCTATTTGTTATACTACGATTTGAAAACCCTTGAACTTTTGAGCTCGGATTCCTCGCGTCCGTCTTTCGCTTCTTCTTCTTCTTCTTCCCTTTTCAGAACGTTGGGGATTCGACACCTCTGCTGGTTAGCCCTCTCTCCAATCTCCACCTCCCGGAGATTCCCGAAATTTCAATTGCATCCTTCAAGGACCAAACTGCAAATTAGGTCAAAGATTGAACTGCGCATCCATGGCCGGCAATAATGTAAGTGCAGTTTCCCAAAAACCCTCACTTTCCATCACTGATGATTATTCAATTTGCTCAGTTAGCTGAACCTCTTGATTCCCAGTAATTGAAAACTCTTGGTAAATTTGTAATCTTTGGGTAATTAAATTATCAGAACTTGTTGATTCCCAATATGTTTGTGTAGGGTGCTGGAGTAGATAATACTTTCAGAAGGAAATTCGATCGAGAAGAGTTCTTGGAGCGAGCTCGTGAGCGTGAAAGACAGGTTTGTACCTCGAAAAGTCTCTTGCTTTTTGTTGGTTTGTAAATTTGTAATATGTTTTTGAGTTTTTCCTCATCTGGGTGTTTTACAATATGCTTTAGGAGGAGGAGGGAGGACCGCATAAATCCAAATGTGGGTTTGCTCAATCTTTTATTTCGGTATCTTTGCGCTCTTAGAGTTGTTTTCTTTAGTACAAACTGAAAGTATTGTTTGCTTTATGTGTGTAGCGAAAGGCCCGCCTGTGCAAAGGAAGCCATTGAAGCACAGGGATTATGAAGTGGATCTCAATTCTCGCTTGGGGAAAACACAGGTGAGCTTTTTATTGTTTGAAGTGCATAGTTCTAATTGGTTGAATTTTGCCCCGTTTGCTTTTAGATTGTTGATCTTTTCTTCAGTTTCCTGAAGAATGAGATTGTTTAAGTTAACTACTTATCGGCCTATGAATTAGTTTTTGTGAAGATGCTAATATCTTTTATTGTCATGGTTAACTGAGTAGAAGCTTTTCGATTTCTAGTGGCTGATATACCGCTGCTCTGTGCAAAGTTAACTTATTACATCTTGATGGAAAATCATCACTTTGATGCAGTATGTTCACAGAATGATATATTTACCGTTAGAGTTTGTTTTCTGGTTTTGTGAATAGTTTGACGCAGTAATTGCTGTCAACAACATAATTTTCGGTTTTGGTGTCTAGAAAATAAATGACACTATGAATTGGTGGCTGATATAAAGAAGCTACGGTTCTCTAGAACAATATAGATATGGATTAAGCAAGTTTTATGGGTGACGTGTGGGTATTCCTATGTGGATAATACTTGCGTTCCTCCACAAGGGAATGCACATATACCACTTCTTTCGAATAACATATATTCACCATATAGATTTCATGATTGGAACCGTTCAATTTCTTAATCTTCATTTGAAGATCATGCCTACTAAAAATCATTTGAATTGGAGATCGTTTGGTGATCCAAATGTATGAAACAAATCGACAGTGTGAGTACCAAGCAACATATTCATGATGAACCGTCCATTTATTTGATACATATGAATGATTAAACGATTTCCGTTTTGAATAATTTTTTCGCAATGATGATCTTCAAAAGAAGATTATGAAATTGAATGGTTCCGATTATGGAGTTTATACGATGGAGATACATTAGGAGTTTCTCATGTCCTGCCTGCTCTGTTGAGTTGCATCAGAACGATGCTGTTACCCCCTTGATGAATTATCCAAGGGATATTTTATTGGATATTTTGTTGCTTACAGATTTGACACTTGCTAACTAATTATTACAAGTTTCTTATCACTTTTTATCATTAACTTATTTATTCGTTGTATGTTTTTTCAGGTTGTTACTCCAATAGCACCTCTAAGCCAGCAGGTAAATACTTATCATTCAATATCCAGTTATGGAGTTTATGATTTGCGTTCTCACTGTTATCCTAAATTATTGTGTTTATTAATGTGCTTGTGCTTCTTCCTTTTTTGTTCAGATAGATTGTTTTAGCTTCTGTTCTCTAGATGATTTCTGGAGATGCTTCACATTCTGTGTGTGGATGTATGAACAATGAATCCATACGTTTTGTTCCTAACTCATTACTGAGCTTACTTGGGATAGCCGAATTGTTGCCTAACCTTTTATTTTACTTTGATGTGATGGCTAACACTTACAACCGATTGCGGAATCATCCCTTATGTTGACTGTATTATTGAAGGTTGGAAGACTGAAGCAATTTAGAAACCACGTTATAGTGGCCAGTCTTCTGACTACAGTAGCCAATTTGACTATGCTCACTAAAGGCTTTGTATTTCTTATCTCTTTCTTTCCCTCTCACCCTCGTTTCCCTTCCTCTTTAAAGTGTATCCCCTCATTTGTTAGGCTGTGTAGCTTTCCTACAGAATCCTTATCTAGTGTTGGCCGAGTTACTGCATCTGAAGCCAGGATTTGGGTGCGATCATTGCCCTTCGATTATGTGAAAAACACATTAATGTATATAGTACTCTCTGTACGGTTATGAGTTGTTATTTTGTAGTCTTTTTATTTCATCATATTGTTCTGTTCTTTTTCAGGCTGGATACTATTGTTCGGTTTGTGAGTGTGTTGTAAAAGATTCTGCAAACTACTTGGATCATATCAATGGCAAGAAACGTATGTAATCTCCATCGGAATGATTATTATAAGAATTAATATATAAATATGTTTCTATTTTCATTATAATTATCTTTTGAATGGTCATTTTCTTTGTTGTAGATCAAAGAGCTTTGGGTATGTCTATGCGGGTGGAGCGGGCATCTCTCCAACAGGTAGAATTTGAATCCTTATTTTTGTGATCAAAATGGAAGTTCCTTGTTAAAATCTTTTCCACGGGAATAAGCATAACTAAGCGTTGAATGCAGGTTCAGGAACGATTTGAAAAGCTCAAGAAGCGGAAAACTGATGGCACTTTCACAGAGCAAGGTAAGACATTGAAGTAGTGAGATGTAAATCAATCCCTTCAGAGGTTTTGGTCCCATAGTTCGCATTTAAGGTGCATCCTGTTCTGACGACTGATAAAAAAAAATGACATCTCTTCCTTCTCCCTCTCAGATCTTGATGAGCGTATCTTGAAGCAGCAGCAAGAAGAGGAAGAGCGGAAGCGCCAGCGTCGAGAAAGGAAGAAAGAAAAGAAGGTAAAAAAATTGGTTCCGTATTAATGTTTTCAAGGCAGAGATTGGAATCTCCAAATTCGTAGCGTTTGATATCTTTCTTGAATTACGTTGTACTAATTTACATAATATTTTGCAGCTGATTTTTTTATGTCGACTGATTCTTTTAAATCTTCTTTCTTGGGTTCAGAAAGACAAGGTAGTAGAAGAGGAAACCGAAATTGATCCTGACGTTGCAACTATGATGGGATTTGGTGGATTCGGTTCAACCAAGAAGTGATCATTTCAAGCTAAGTTCAACTTTCACAGTTTCTTTTCGAATCTGAGTGGTTTCTATATATGTATTTTGTTCCTGAGTGACCCACTGTACCATACGAACCACTCAATTTAGGCGTTCGGACTTGTACACAACGTAGGTTCGTGGGAAAATGGAAGAGATTTTACGCAAAGATTCATAATGCATCTGGGTTTGATTCATCATTGTTCTGGTTTAGCATTTGAAGCTTGTCAATTTGTTTTAATGTTACCAGTCAATCACCGATCATCTCGGTTCGGTAATTCTGACTCCGAACCGAGGCAATCGCCGGTCATCTTACACAACATCGAATGAAGAATAACATGTTACAAACCACAACGTACAAGATCTTTCGTCGTAGCAGTAATCTATGATTGTTCATGATGTGTTACGTCCAAGTGCCTTCCCCTAGAGATGTTTCAGATGGTTGAAGTATCTTTTTTTAGTGACGTGATTTTCTCTCACCCTTTTTAGCTTCTCACACACTCGTCTTTATTTATGATCATCGAATTGAATAAATTAAATAGAATCAACGGCCAAAATTAACATGGGTGTATGAAAACCTAAAAAATGTGTGTGAAAATCTTCCCTTTTTAAATAGGATGACTTTGGATGCGGTCCCTACTCATTAACGTTCTTTGATTGAAATCTTGTTTGTTTTCGGATTTTGATTGAAGTCTTTAAATTAATGCAATAATGCATTTCTACATAGGTTATTATAATTTTTGAATTAAAATTTGATATTTGTAGTTATTCATATTAATGAAATTTTAAATAAAATCCATAATTTGTTGAAAGTATTAAAAAAATTATACTTAAATAGAACTCATGATTTGTCTTTACTTATATTAATGATATTTTACATACAAAAAATTGGTAATTTTTATATGATACATTTTACATACAAAAAGTTGGTAAATTTTATACAAAAAAGGTGATACATTTTATATTAAAAAAATGGTTACATTTCATATAAAAAAACAATGGGTACATTTTACACACAAAAAAAAAGGTACATTTTACATATAACAAAGTGGTACATTTTTAAAGACAAATTGATACATTATTAGATAAATTATGGGTACAAATAAATGGTAAAAAAAAAAAAAAAAAAAAAAGAGTACAAATAAAAGTTTGGAAAAATATGGACACAAAAAGAAATTAATGCATGGGTACAAACTAAAACTGAAAAAGAAAATTGGCAGAATTTAAAAAGGGGTTGCAAATTAAAATGGGTACAAACTTAAAAATAAAAATGTATGATACAAAATTTAGCTATAAATATAAATATATCAAATGTAACGTTTCTAACACTAAATGAACATATTTAGAAATAAAATTTAATTATCTTGATATGTAAAATATTTTATTATGAAATAATTAATGATGTTTATTAAAACCAAGGGTCCTTGATTAAAAATTGAAAAGGAATAAAGTTTCAATCAATGAAATCTAAAAAAGATGCATGAGAATCTAATTTCTCGTTTTAAATAATAGATACAAATTATGTATACAAATGGGCTCAATAGAATGCATTGGCATTGGAGTGAGTAGTAGGAGGCCCAAGGTACGAAACACACGACTTTCAAGTGCTAGGGGAGTGCTCTCAATCACCAGGATTATTTGAGAGATTTTTTATTGTGCTGGAAACATAACTTGCAAATGTCATAATATAATTTGGTTGAATTTTTTTTTTCTAACCCCAAACGATTGCATTATTACACTTACTATATGGGCAATGTTCTCGGAATACTGAGACTCACATAAGCATTTTAATCTCCTCTGATCACCATTGTGTGATTTTCACCAGTGTCATACGAGCCTGAAATTCGCCCCAACTACTGAGCCACCTATGATGGCTGCTAGGCTAAGGCATTGTAATTTTAGATTCACAAAAAAAAAAATAAAAGGGGTAAAACAAGAGCAGTTGCCAGCTAAAAGTATACGTTGTGTTGGAAAATTAACCATATATCAAGTCCAATCTAAATACGAAAACCAACTATATGCTGCAAATGTTGACTTCAATATATGATGCTTGCATTAAAAAACTGAACATAATTAAACAAGAAAACTATAAGAACATGGTCGAAGCCTCTTGTTCTCCGTCAACCGCCATCTTTCCTTCCAAATTAACCACACTGCCTCTGAGGATTTTGATTAATTAACTTGATGTATTTTACTTTGACTGCTCGATCTTTTCATCCAAGATAACTTCCGTCATGGCTTCTGAGAAATATGGATTCCCATGCAGGTACCTTCCCCTGTTCTTGCCAGGGAACCACATCCCTTTCTTCCAAACCAGATGAGGCCTCAAGTGAGTAGCCGGATAAGCAACGTGTTCCGACGTTGTTTCGAATAACACGGCGCAGAAACCGCCCTTCTCCCCAGTGACGACCCCTGTCCACCACCCGTCGTTGTCGTACGCGTCCACCAAATCCCCGAAACCAAACTTTTGGTTGTTTGCAGATGAGTCGCTTCGGCTTGAAGGTCGGGTTTTGTTCGGGTGCGCAGGGCGGACGTCGTGAGCCATGACGGTTTCTTTGTAGAGCGTGCGCTCGTCATCCTCCAACAGCTCCTTGTACTCGACAACGTAGTTGTCCCCCATGTTGGCTACAACCCTAGCTGCGAAGTACGATCCGATGAACCCCTCTTCCTTGCTTGACACTTCAACTTCGTTGTTTGTTTTGAACCACCTTTCGGGGCAGAACTCAGTCGGATCGGAGGGTTGGGAGTGAGATGAGGAACCAGAAGGACGAGAGTTCGTCGTGTTTATACGATGTTGGATCGCACGGGAAGGCCCCATTACAGATGATTTGCAAGTGAAAGAAAGGAAGTAGAAGAACGAGAGCTGATTAACTAGTTGCTGCCAAGGATGAGAGAGTTGACGAGTGCCTTGTTTGTATATATAGAGTCCTCTTCTGTTTAGGAAATTTTGCTTTCCTATTCAGCCCACCTAAAGTGTTACTTTTACGAATTTCTCGCACTTATATATAAACCTGTAAATGGATCGGATTCGGACTAGATTATTTTAGATTGAAGTGCTAAGTAAAATAATCTGGCCGGATAATCTGACAGATGTTTAATAAGAAAATCCATATATGATTTGTTAAGTTAACGAGTATCTAATTTGATAACACGATATGATTTCTTATACATGTTTTTTCAATCACCATAAAAAAAAAAAAATTTGTTTTCTTAATCAATAATATACATTCTAGAAAGTTCAGATTACTCTATATATTTGTATGCCAGGTCAGATTGGAACATTATCCATCGGATTAGCTCAAATTCGTATTTGCTTTGTTAAGCTAACGGATTTTCAAATCCATATTTGCTTTGTTAAGCTAACAGAGTTTCATATTCTATTAATTACATCGAATTCAGATTAAAATCGGGTCAAATGATTTATTAACACGTCCTTTGACAAATTCAACCCAATCATAGCATTGTAAAAGAACAAATCTAAGTGTCGCAGTCCCAAATTTAGATGGTTTAGACAATGGACAGATATGTGTATATAAGACGGATCTGTTACACTACTTGTTTACACAACTTTTGACACGTTTTTATGAGCCGCTTCATAATGTATTTCAACAATCCAAACTGTATATCTTTAAGGTCTTCATAGATCATGTCTAACAAAAATCACCCATTATGCACGTGTGGGACATGAGAAGAGGATTGAACATATAATTTTGTTGCCGGTTTCACAAGAATGTGAACTATCAATACCATTTGCTGATCGTAAAGAAAAGAGGCAAAATATCTCCAACAGCTTGAATTAATCGGAAACAACAAAAAGTGAGAAGCCTAGTCTTTACTACTTAATGTACTGAGAAAGCCACTTGAAGCCATCGCCATAACCCATTTTGCGAACGATACTGCACATGAAGACCTCGAGGGGACGGACATTTGAGTCTTGCAAGTTCACTTTGCCCTTGCCGGTGGTGAAGTTGTTCAGACCGAGGTGGAAGCGCAACTCTTCTTCTGAGGCCGCATATGGTATGTCGATCTTGTTTCCCAGAACAAGGAATGGAACAGTGGCCAATGACTCATCAGAGAGGAGAGCATCCAGCTCCTTTTTCGATTCTGCAAATCTTTCCTTGTCGTAAGCATCCACCAGGTAAACAACTGCATCCACCTTTGCACAACAAATACAAAATGCATTACCAAGGATGAAACGTCGAGATAACATTCCATTTTGGATCAAGAAAACGTAGAGATAACACAACTCGAAGTGGCAAGACAAAACTTGCATAGCTTGAAACTTACCCTCAAATTTCTTAGGCAATTCCAAATCTCAAAATTCTTTCCAATTACAGATTCCAAAATATAGTCTAGTATATAACCAAATATTATCTTATTCTCTCAATAGGACCTATTCGGGAGCTGTCGTACTTCACCACTATAAATCCCAGCTATCCGTATATGGTTAAAATACATAGACGTAAATCATATACAATCTACGGGGTGAAAAACACACGTTATTTAAGGACCGTATTGGAGAACAATTCAATATAAAACATATCTAACTACATCTCCCAGGTTCTACTGTGAACTTTTTCCCTAGCAAATAGAAATCCTTCACAGGAGTTGAAAAGAAATAAGGTGAACATGGCAATCGACACAAAAGGTTTACTCCCACTTCTGATCAGACGTTTTTGTTTCGTTAACCCATCATTAATCCAGATAATGAAACTGCAAAGCAAAGGATGAGTGTGTGGTAAGGTACTATTAGCATACCTTCTAAAGACATAAGGTGCTATCAGTGAACTACCACTATTTATATCTGCCGCCCATGCATCAGGTAAACACAAAAACTTTTATCTGGGATTACGGAAGCATAACTATTCCAAAACTTTACTACACGCCTGTGTCAAGAGATGATCATACGGCAGCTATTCTTGGGGGCGAAGATATATTTCGTTTCTGATTTCATTATTTGACTAATCTTTATTCAGCAAACTATTACGAAATACAAGAACAATGCTGCTCGCTGAGCACACACAAACCGCATAATTTTCATAAGAAAAAGAAAAGGCCTCAAGCAGTTCATATATGCAGAAAGCAGTTGCCACATCACATGCATACAATACATCCTTAAGTTAAAACATGAATGATACCTTGGCATAGTAATCTTTCCAAACTCTGCGAGCAATCTGATGCCCGCCCAAATCAAAAGCCTTGAACTTAATTTTCCCAATGCTTAACTCCTCGGATGTCGGATACTGCGTCGGTTGGTGTTGAACTAATCTCTGCAACAATCCATCAACAACAAAACCCAGAGTCAGAAAATCAAATTCCCCGCTACTTATCACAATAAATCAAAACAATGACAACAGTAAATTGGTTTATTCGTTTTCTCTCCTTCCAAATAATACAATTTCAGTGAGTCAATATTGTCTTAACCTGAATTCTTCATTAACCAATTGACGCAGAGCTCCTAATGTGGAAAAATCATAGGAATTATGAAAAGAAAAGTTTTTCAATTGAATAACAATTAGCAACTACACTCTCAAAACTATAATTTCATTCCATATTTTCTTTTCCTTCACTTTCCCATCAACCAAACAGACCCCACACTGATTAAACATAAAACAAAAACGAAAATTTCAATTGAAACCAAAATACCAATCATTCCAAAACACCATCGAAGCATTCAAAGATCATAACTTTCACCGCATCCGTAAGCACCCAAAACCCACCAACAAAAGTTGTTAAAAATCGGATTAAAAGGATGGGATTGGAAGAAAGACCTCATCTTTGAGCATATGAAGCAACGTCGTCTTGCCGGCATTGTCGAGACCCAAAAACAAGATCTTGGCCTCCTTCTGCCACAATCCGAGCGATGCAAGAACCCCGTAGAACCAATCCAACAAGAACATGGTGTTTCCACCCAGAAATCGTCAGATCGAAAGCCTCCCCCTCAAATCAGAGAGACGGAGAAATAGCTAGAGAGCGTTATGTGGAACTGTTACTGGGTTTGGTCCCATCGGACGGCTCATTTGGGCAATTGTCGGCCGTTAGATTCTAAATTTCGAACAGCTGGAATCTGATTTTTTTTTTTTTTTTTTAATTTCAGTTTTAGCTGAATTTCGTCGGTAGGGATTGTTTTTGCTTTTTTTTTTTCTTTCTTTTTTTGTTTAATTGCCTTCTCTTTCTGACAAAAAAATAAAATAAAATAAATAAATGTCTTCTCTTTTCTAGTTTTGTTTTATCCATTTTGGTGAAGGTTGGACAAGAAATTTGGTAAGTACTAAAGAACTTAGCAATTATGATCCATAAATAAAGAAAAACTAATGAAAAGGTTTTGAAAATTTTGAGTTTTAATGATAAGAACAAAATAAAGGGTAAAATGAATAGTACTAGGATTGACTTTTTAATGTAAAAATGTGGTTTTTCATTAAAGTGAACAATATCATAGATTTTTCGTTAAAACTCCCTAAATTTAAGTCTTTTTAATCAAAATAGTTTTAAAATTGGCATAACTCCAGTCCTGGAGAATTACATTCAAGAGAATTATTTTGTCCACCGTCAATTATTTTCATCACTTTCTGAAACTCTCCATTAAATAAGAGAAAATGATAAAAATACCTTAAAAAAATCAAAATAATTATTTATTAAATTGAAGATAATTTTGTCATTTAATTCTTATTAAATAGAAATTTTTTCAAAAAAAATCAAAATAATCAACTGTGAACAAATCTAAATATCATTACTATCGGGTTCAAATCTCATAAACTAATATAAAGATTAATACCAATTTTAAAGGCCATTTAATTAAAAGTCCTTGTTTTTATATAAAGAAGCAAAGTGGACCAAACTTTAACCTTTATGTCAAGTTAACTGAGATATTATATTAATTACTCAAATCTTATCATCTTCAAAACCCTAAACAGGCCCACCGTCTCAGAAAACCAGGAACCCCACAAAAGCCCAAACCCACAAACCGCCCACAGCAATTTCCCACCCATCTTTTTACTACATATACCCACTTCACCTTCCCATGTTCCATCAACCGACCTCCCTCCAAAAACCACTTCAGAAAATCTCTCAAACTGTTTTCGAATTGCAACCGTCCGATCGATTAATCATGACTGACGTGGCAGAAGGCGAAAGGAGGATCCTCGTGGCCGTCGACGAAGGCGAGGAGAGCATGCATGCGCTGTCGTGGTGCCTGAAGAACATTGTCGCGCAAAATTCCAAAGATACCCTTATCCTACTCTACGCCAAGCCCCCGCGAGCAGTGTTCACTGCTCTGGACGGCACAGGTAGGAGGAGAGAGGACCCATCCGGTATTTTGTCGCAACATTGAGGTTATTTTGGGAAAGAAGATTCAGTGGTTTTTTTTGTAATTTGCTTGTGAAACAGGGTATTTGTTTTCGTCTGAGACTTGGGCGGCGATGGAGAAGTACGCTGCTGATGTGGCGGACTGCGTGATGGAGAAGGCCAAGAAGACGTGCAGGGACCTCCGTCAGGATGTAAGTGTCAGAATATTGATTTTGTGAGGGTAAAATCGTCTTTTGGTTTTTTGTGATTTTTATTGTGACGTTTTTGCGCCTGGTCCAGGTTAAGGTGGAGACGAAAGTAGAGGACGGAGATCCGAGGGATGTCATTTGCCAGATGGCAGAGCAGCTTCGTGCTGACGTGTTGGTCGTGGGAAGCCACGGTTACGGCGGCATCAAAAGGTAGGTCCCAATTTATGTTGACAAAATGGGACTTGGATTCATTCAAATTATGGAGATCCTAAAGATTTTAATATTTTAAATATTTATCGTATATTGAACGGTAAAATATCAATTAATATTCTTTATTTAAATGAATAGTTAGGACGTAGAGATTTCTAAGATCCCATAAAATAAATTCGAAAGAGAATCCTCTTCCGACAATATGAAGATTGGAGATATTAAACAGAGTTTATGTGCCGCGTTATTCATACGTCCAAGACACCAATTCAAAATCTTTTTCTTTGGGTCACAAAAAATGTACTTGTTTAAGATTGAATGTTTGTGTCTTGGACGGACAGTAACACGACGAGCCATTGCACATGGCGGAGACGGTATAACTGGTTTACAAAACAAAAAAATAAAAACAAAAATCATGAAATTAATTTGGGAAGTAATTAGAATAATTGGGAATTTGCAGGGCTTTCCTTGGGAGTGTGAGCAATCACTGTGCACAGAATGTCAAGTGTCCCGTCTTGATTGTCAAGAAGCCAAAAACAAGTGCCGGGAGCAAAAGTGAATAATTGTGTTTGGGAAATGGTGCTTACTGGTGAAGAAAAACAAGCGTTTGTATTTGACTGTTTAAGCTTTGGGTGCGGTCGAGGCTTCTCTTTTAATGCATTGTTAAGAAAATTACGCATGTATATGTAAAACTTGTAATCCATTTTCGTTGGCCTAAATTTAATTGGGTTTCTACTTGGCTTAGATAAGTTTTCTTGGGTATTATGTTCGCCGCTTTTAGCTTTTTCAGGATATTTTGTGTTTGTCGTTTTTTTGACATACGTGAATTAGATCAATTTTGGAGGTATTGCACTTGCGATGTTTTTATACTCGTGATTTATGATTAGTTTTTTAGTATAAGGAGGCGAAATAGCACCTGTCGCCTTTTCTTACACATGAGTTAGACTGGTTTTTAATATTATGTTTGTCAATCTTTGACGCACATAAGCCATGTCAGTTTTTAGAACATTAATTGTGCATGCTGCCTTTTTCACCCAAGTTCGACGTTTTGCACACACCATCAGTTTTTAGAATATTAATGTGCGCGTTGCCTTTTTATACAAATTCAATGTTTCTTCTCGTAGATTAAAGTAATTTGGAACATAGTATAATTACCAGAAAACTATGATAGGAAAAAACTAAATTCAATTGTGAACAAAAAAAAAAAAAAAAAAAAAAAAAAAAAAAACCGAAGATCTAAATTATTGTCAACTTTTGAGAAGCTTCTTCAAGCCTTTGATCATGAAAGAAAGTCAACTTTACGGGATCCCTATAAATTAAGAAATTGAGTTTCACTCCGTATCTCTGTGTCTGGAGTCTTGGATCGAGAGATTTGGACCACTTAATTTCAATCTTACTGTCCCTAATAGCTCATTTTACTAGCTCACTTCACAAAAACCCAAAAACTTAGATTGCTCATCTCTCTCTCTCTCTCTCTCTCTCTCGTGGTTCAATTCTCTCAGTTTGTGAGCTTTGAACACAAAGATCTCTTGAGTGGTTCAACTCTCTCAGTTTGGGAGCTTTGGACACAAAGATCTAGAGTTTATCTCATTCCTAAATTAAGCATGGCTTAAGGATATTAAGTACTACGAGTGTTTCTACGTGGCTTAGATAAGTTTTCTTGGGTATTATGTTCGCCACTTTTAACTTTTTCAAGATATTTTGTATTTGTCGTCTTTTCACACAAGTGAATTAGATCAATTTTTAAGGTATTGCACTCGCAATCTTTTTATACACGTGATTTATGATTAGTTTTTTAGTCTAAGGAGGTGAAATAGCGCTTGCCGCCTTTTTGTACACATGAATTAGACCAGTTTTCCAAAGTATTATGCGCATCGCCATTTGACACACATGAGTCATATCAATTTTTAGAACATTAATGTGTGCGCTGCCTTTTTCATTCAAGTTCGATATTTTGCACACATTATATCAGTTTTTAGAACAGAAATGTGCGCTCTGCCTTTTCATCCAAATTCAATGTTCCTTCTTTTAGATTAAAGTAATTTAGAACATGGTATAGTTACCAGAAAACCAGAATAGGAAAGAGCTAAAATCCATTCGTGAACGAAATAAGAAAAAACGAAAATCTAAAATATTGTCAACTTTTGAGAAACTTCTTCAAGCTTTTGACCTTGAAAGAAAGTCAACTTTACGAGATCTCTAAGAACTTGAGATTCACTCCAGATTTCTGTGACCGAAGGATCGAGAGATTCGGACCACTCAATTTCCATCCCACCACCTCTAATAGCCTATATCATTGAGTCACTTCACAAAAATCCAAAAACTTGGCCCATATCTCTTTCTCTCTCTCCTGGGTAGTCTGAATCTCTCGGTTTGCAAGCTTTAGACACATAAATCCAGAGTTGATCTCATTCCTAAATTAAGCATGGCTTACGGATATCAAGTACGACGAGTGTTTTAAACGTGTCGCATCACTTTTAACTTGCAACGGTCCATTGATATCATGTATATAGTTGCACTGGCTTCAATTCATGCTTAATCCGATTACACATTGTCATTGTGTATCAATTTATGCTTCTTTCCAAGGCCATGCTCGACTCTCCATCCCAGTGAGAGATGAGACTGCAACTGTTGCCAAAGTTGTTGGAAATTGGGTAGTTTGTAACAACAATAGAAGAGTTTTTCGCGTCGACGTAAAGCCGGTGGATTGCAAGACGAGAGATGAAAGGGTTGCGGACAGCTACAAGAAAGTACGCAACGACGAAAACTTATCGCTTGTATTAAAAGAACAAGAACATAGTTATAAAACGATATAGAGTTCTGCTAATCTTTAAAACCCGCGATTCTGAACGGTTGATTATACAGCGTATAATCCAGATGGAGTTCATATCACTCAACGAAAGTTCCGAAACTTACAGAGACTTCTGTGTGCGGCGACAAGCTCAGCAAGAGAGAAGACATGGCCGGAGGTGGTCTTGACACAAGCTACAATAGTTACCCAAAAACTTCAGCAACCTTCTCCCAAGTCTGTTGAGTCATGTCGTCGTTACATTTGTACAAAACGAGGCGTCTCATCGTGAAACGGAGGCCAACGATGCCACCATCAAGAGCAAGAACTTTTTCTTTAGCCTTTTGCTTCTCTTCGTCGGTCAGATGCCCATAGAGGAGGCTCAAATGTGGCATAGGACCTGCATTGATACAATTAATTGCAACCCAATGGAATAATCATTAGTTATAAAGCAATAAAAATATGCAAGCGGTCTAATATCTTAATGGATAGAATTTTGGTTTCCACTCATGCATCCCAAGTTCGAAACTCCCCATCTCTCCTAAATTATATAGAAGTGCCAATAACAATTCCCCTATCAATTCTCAATAAATTAGTGCTCAGCACCAAACCCTAACAAAACTTGCAGTCAATGAAATGGCAATCTACAAAACCCTATGGAATATATCTTTAGACAAAAGAGTTCCTTTTGTTGGTTCTTCAAAGCAAATGCATATCAACTTAAGAGTTCTGGTTATGTTCGCTCACTCTTAGATTTGGTATAGTGTAGAAATTAAAACACTAAAAACATTCATTTAGGGTTAGTTTGGAAAGTGCTTTTAAATTATTGAAAGCGCTTTTAGTGAAAATATGTTTTTAGAACTCAAAAACATTTGCTCTAAAAGTGTTTTCAATCAATTAAAACAATTTCCAAACGAGCCCTTATTCTCCGCCCTTTATATCAAATTAAAAAGTGAATGACCATACATCTCCTACTGAATAATGTTACACCTATCAAATTTTTCATACCACATTTGTATCATTTCTCTAATAGAGATAGGATCCGCCAATACATATGAATTATATCTCTATTAAAAAAATAGTATATATACGGTATGAAAAATATAATAAAAGTAACATTTTTGTTGCTTGCTCCCTTAATGACCAAGAGAAATTTCGATTCATGATAACTAGTCGAGCACTTCTCAAGAAAAACTCACATTTAACGAGTGTATACATTATCATATCTCTCAAAACAAACATTCATGTGATATAGAACAAAACTTGTATAAATTCTGCATGAAGTTTTTATTAATTTTGAATCAATAATTTGTATGGGAAGGCAAATTGATCTTACCCAAGCGTCCAAATTTCCCAGCCACGTTCTTCATATGAATTACCTGAGAAAGAAATTAATCGACTACAATCACATAACTAATAACTCTCAAACTAAAAGAGATAATTGTTCTTAACCAAACTGGATACAACGAGTGTGTTCATTTGCAGTTAAGTTCGAATCTATCTTTTTCATAATATAGATGAATTTAATATAGAATATCAACTGTAACAATATTTAAAATAACGATATGCAAATTTATGAAAATATCGATGGATATATCGCCATCGATTTGCAATGAAATGAGTATATCAACTTATTCAGATTTAGTCAAAATTAGAGAAAATTTCCCCAAAAAAAAAAAAAAAAAATTCAAAAGTTCGAAATCTTCAATGGATTATGACAAAATTTAGGTAGTGAATCGGTAAACATTATCGATATTTATTAATTTTTCTATATCTGTATAGGGTGAAGTTTTTATTTCATCTTCTTTCCAATATTCATCTTTAATTTTTCGGACATTTGAACGGAAATATTGACAATTTGGTTGATATTTTAAACACCGATTATATATAATAAAATAAAAAAAACAAGAGATGATTGATAAGATTTGAGTGAAAATAAACGAATAGAATGAAACCTCGGGATCAATGAAGAGGTAAACGCACTGGTAATAGAATGCACATGGACTGGTATTCACGCGCTCAATTTTACAATCATAACTGACTCCGGTACATTTCTCTCTGAACTTCTTCACCATGGACTCGTGATCCGAGTGGATCGACACCGTAATCGGAATGTGGGGTCGGATCTCCGGCCCACCAAATTCTTCGCGAAGACCGTCCATCACCTCCTTGATCCTCTCCGACACATCATCCGGTGGGACCGCCCATATGGCATACTTGTGCACTCGCGGCTTATCTGGCATGGTGAGAAAAACGAAGAAGATGGATGATTGGTTTTGCAGCGTTTAGGTTAATTGGGAATTGGGGCTTATAATGCGGTTGGTGATCAAATTTGGAAATGATCGTTCTTCCTTTTTCCCAATTTTTTTTTTTTGTTTTTTTTTAATACGAGAGGTGGAGTAGTAATAATGTTGTTCAAATTCGTTTTTAGCAGAAGTAAAATTGAAGACATTGAAGAAGAATACCACTTTTTATTTTTATAATACGAGAGGTGGAGTAGTAATAATGCTGTTCACATTTGTTTTTAACGAGAGTAAAATTGAAGACATTGAAGAAGAATACCATTTTTTTTTTTTTAATATGAGAGATGAAGTAGTAATAATATTGTTCAAATTCGTTTTTAGCGAGAGTAAAACTAAAGACATTGAAGAGAAATACCACTAAACCGTAATACTAAGTAAGCGTTTTATTTGAAGCTCACCATTTTTTTTTTGAATACCCAATTTTTAATAAAATGGTTCTTTCCACACCAAAATTTTGTCTTGGACGTCATCAACCTTTGATCCATGCAAAAATCAGGGCTATAAAAAACAAAGGAAAAAAAGGGAATCCGACCCAAAAAAAATTATCTAATCATTCAATAACCGAAATCGAAAAATTCTTGAAAGTTTGGTACAGGCGTCGGGATCACAGATCAGTAATATCGAACCGAATTTTATGATTATACAATTTAAAT